TATCAGACACACCCTATCGAGTTGTATTGGAACGAATTGGCTAGTATTCGATGCCCCCCCCCCTTTTCTGATATTACTGATTCTGTACGTGGCTAGATATGTTTTATTTTAGTTCGCTAATTAGAGGTTATATACAATCAAATCATTTAACTGTTCTGACACGAAACTGAATCAGATTAAGTAAGATAAGACCTTGTCATAATTTCTGTGAACGTAAACATGCAGATAACTAATTTGATGATTTATATGTGTTTGTATATATCATGATTCTTCGTTAATTTAACTGTAAAATATACTTACGCTAATATCAAGAGGTTTATACAGAAAAGTCTTCTCTCGTCTTTATATTCCTTAGACGCAGTTGTTCACTATTTGTTCATCAGTCTGGTGCGATAATTTCTCGAGGATGATTTTCAAAATGTTCTAAACGGATGTTGAAAAGAGGTGCGCGTGCTTGCGCCTCCAAAAGAAAATATTCGGAACTCAACTTGAAAAACCGCGAAAATTTAAAAACTTCTCAATTATTATGATTACATTGTACATCAATGATATTTTAAGTTTATATATTAAATATCAATCGGTAAAAATAATTAAAATAAATATACCAAAAATTTCTCCTATTTATTTAAATGAAAGAAAGCAACTAAACAAATCGATTTGATTTTAAAATATAAACTAAGAATATATCATATTTATACAGATATACATATAATTAAGATAGCATGAACAGGTTTTGAGATCTAATCATCAAACCCAAATTACTTAATAATTGGTTAGAATTGGTTTTTTTTTAAAGATACTTAAAAAATAAACACAAAAAAAATTTAATTTGAAAAAGCCGATTTGTTATTGGTGATGTCTCCTGACCACTTGTTCTTGCCCAAAACTCCTTTCCATGCATAAACAATGCAATCCGGTCTACCCCCTTTTTCGTGGAAAAAAATGATTGATTATATAGGGATCATGGAAGCATGACAGGAGGAAGCCCCCTCACGCTTATGGCAGTCAGTGGACCCCTTATAAGTATTATAAAAAGTTCTGGATTAGCCACTTATTATCCAATCGTTTATAATACTGCAGCACTGCTTCTTGTCCGATCTGCTCATCAAATATATCTATACCCTTCAATTTTGACAATGAGATTTTTCTGTCGCGATTGACTGACGTTAACCCAACGTTGAATCAACGTTGTTGTTTAAACGTTGATTTTAACGACGTAAATTCAACGTTGAAACAACGTTGTAAAGTCAACGTTGAATACCATGACGTTAGATCAACGTTGAATTTAGGTCGATCAACGTCACGACCAAATTTCAACCAAATTTCAACGTTGTTACAACGTCGAGTGCCCACTGGGACTATGTCAATTATTAAGTGCCTGCATGTGATTTGTACTATTTCAATAAAATCATTATTTTGTTTGAAATGAATAAATATACAGCAAAAATACCGGGTTTTTTTCAGTAAGAATTATTTGCAAAAAACACGAGAGGATGATTGTTGATTTTTGAATTTTTTTTTTATGCCCCATTAATGGGCATTATGTTTTCTGGTCTGTGCGTCCGTTCGTCCGTTTGTTCATCCGTCCGTCCGTTCGTTCGTCCGTCTGTCCCGCTTCAGGTTAAAGTTTTTGGTCGAGGTAGTTTTTGATGAAGTTAAATTAAGTCTAATCAACTTAAAACTTAGTACACATGTTCACTATGATATGATCTTTCTAATTTTAATGCCAAATTAGAATTTTTCCCCCATTTTCACGGTCTACTGAACATAGAAAATGATAGTGCGGATGGGGCATCCGTGTACTGTGGACACGTTCTTGTTTTATTCTTATTTATAATTTATATTCACTTAAAGATTTTCATTGGTTTAATTTTCTTTCACAAATCGATCATCACATCAAGTTAAGAATCCTGAAATTTTGCATTTATTGTAAAATAAACACAACTTTCAAATGACTTATAACCCTAATTAAAGCTGCATTAAAGATATTTATATAAAACAACAATTGTTTTTTTAAAGTTAAAAGCTTATTGTTTCAGACTATTCATTAAGAGCATCGTGGATTATTTTTATAATTGGTAAATAAGTTACAGCAAATTTCGAATTTGTTGGCAAACATGGCAAATGTTCAAAGAAAATTCAAGACGACGGTTTACACCCATTTCATTATTGTCATGTATTGTGTTCATTTGTTTCTTACACTTTCGTCCCAACGTTTAATTTCCTTTTTGTCATAGTTATTTATTTTTTCCATTTATACTGAGACTACTATAACAATAGTAGTCTCATATTTATTGTTCAGTTCAGTATAAATAAGGCCTTTCGTTTCTATTGTATCGTGTTGTGTTACTAGCTCATGTATTCACAGTTTTGATCAGAGTTGCATGTATATGTTCCGGACCATATGAATATTTTTACCATACGCGTATGGTCATGACCATATGCGTATACTCATATGATCCGACCAAACGCGTATGGTAAGACCGTACGCGTATGGTCGGACCATATGAGTATATACTCGTTTAGTTATTCACGAGCCGGGCCATATGAATATTTGGACCATATAGGTATTTTTTTCAAATATGCATTAGAAACGTTTCATAATACAATAAACTTTATCATAAAAAAAACAGTGATGGTTACATAGAAATGTATTATTTTATAATTCAAAGGCTACAGAAACATTAAATATAGATGCCACAGTCAGTTGATCTTAAGTTTTCGTCGCTAATTGTATTCTTGCATGTATGCTTAGGGTGACATAAAATTCCACACGGAACAATAGCTTTTCTGCATTTGCACGTCTCAGTTACACCTTTTGCTTGCGAGGGAAAAGCTAGCATTCTTTACAGCTGTGTACAGTGATACCGAGGTCTTAGGCCATTCTGATGTGTCTATACGGTGTTTTTAAGAAGCTCTATTTCTCCAATATCGTAACATGACTGCAGTAAACCATATTCACAAGACAACTTGAATAGCTATGGTCCTTGCCGGTGATGTCATTTGCTTTACACAATAAACGTGGTAAATCACCAGACGCCATGTCAATCACCGATATACGTAAAGTAACAAAATTTCCTTTTACAATATGTGCATTTGGTTTTGTCATCTTCTTATATTGTACTTACAAATAGTGAGTAAAATTAACTGTGTGAAACTGCTCATTTTTATTTAGTTAATCTTTTTTATTATTGAAATATAATAAAATGACATTTTTAATGAAGTGACAACCAGATGGGCTATTCCTTATGAAGAGTTTTAAAGTATTTAAAGTAAACGTGTTAATTCCCCCGACCATACGCGTACGGTCGGACCATATTGCATATGGTCGGACCATATGAGTATATACCAATATGGTCATGACCATACGCGTATGGTCAAAATACTCATATGGTCCGGAACATATATATAACGTACGATTAGTCACAAAAGTTCAAATAACAGTGAAATACTGAACTATATATGATCCCTTAATACAAAAAGCGAGTGGTCAGTGCCCCTACCCTTTTATTTGCTATTATACTCTTATATCGTGTCGAAGATTTATCTATAAGTCAAATATACACGTATATACTAATTACTATCGATGACAACAATTCGAGCAGTTATCAGAAAGACGTGTCGTAGATTCATCTATAAGTCAAATATACATACATATATATACTATCGATGACAACAGTAAGAGCAGTAAACAAAAAGTCGATAAGTATATAATTTATGCATGGTACATTTTTTTTAGATAGTAGTACATATTGATAGAGGCGGATTTAGGGCGAGGGACAAGGGGCCCGGGCTCCCTTATGGAGCTGTGAACATATATGATCAATACATTGACTTTTTTGGAAAATATCACATAAAGGTTGATTTACCTGGGGGCCCTTTTCAGAATCCTGTATCCGTACCAGATTTATTTATATACTCAACATGTGTCACAATCAGGACTAACAAAATTAATTTCCCTATTCAAAGAAACTTATTTCCCCTTTAGTTCCCTGCTGTAGATCAAGCAACCGAGCCTCTTGTTTTATATTATAAAAATCCTTTCGTTTTGTGCTTCATTTTTCGTTTTGTTTCGTCATATTTCGTTTTATTTCTTTTCCTTTAGTTTCGTTCGTCCTGTTGTTATTTTTTCGTTTCACACTAGATAGGGACCACATAATTATTCGAATGAGAGGATGGATTGGGTTTAAGGAATTGAAAATAATGAGCAAAATGTGCAGAATAAACAGGATAAAGGACAAACAATGAATAGACATGATTGTAGAGAAATATAGGCACAAATAGTAAACAATTATAGAATATAGAATAACGGGCAAAATAGATAACGAATAGACCGAACGTAATGCATTATGGGCAATATAAATTAAGAATTGAATGCTTCTTAAAGTAAATTTAGTTGGGTGTAAAAGCGTTTACCAAAGTACATTTTGTATGAAGCGCACAGTCAACGCATTAACAATCCTATAAAACTACTAATTTTTGCAAGTCTTTGACCTAATTGGTCATCCACAATTGTATTAAGTCTTTCATTTAGAGTTGCATTAATAAGCATTTTTGCAAGACAATAAACGAGACTGATCTTTTGTTATTGGAACCATTGTTTTCCTTAGATTTGTGCAATGGGACTTATTTTCTTCGTGTTTTGGAGGTATTTTCCGGTTTCCTGGGAAGCGGCAAAAAAAAATTTAGAAAAAAGATATCATTGCCAAAAGATACATTTTTAATTGGACATAAAAATGCAAATTGTAATAATTCATCTTTGAATAGCTGATTTTGCAGTTTTTGAACTTGTTCTCATCATTATTTTCTTTTGGTTAGACTCAAAGCAACTGACAAAAATGAAAATGGAAGACGTCTGTACAGAAACAAATGAAACATCGTGCAACGGATCATCAGCTACTTCTGTGATTGTCTCCCTTGATCGGACTTCCGGTCATGCGTGCAACGGAACATCAGCTACTTCTGTGATTGTCTCCCTTGATCGGACTTCCGGTCCATTAATGGAGGATCGTTTAGTTAGATGTCATGACAAAGGAATTAGTTATATATGTAAAGTGTGTGGTAAGGAGTGGAGTAGCAATGCAGATCTAGAGGAACATATAATAACTCATACTGCTGGAAACCAAGCTTTCAAATGTAAAAAGTGTAAAAAAGAGTTTCGTGCATATAGTGTGCTACAGATGCATTTAAAGACACACGCTAGGTGTTGTATCTGTGATAAATGCGGTAAAGGTTTTCGTAAGGATGATGACATAAAGACACACTTGAAAGCTCACTCTGAAGATAAACCTAATGTTTTTACATGTGATGTATGTGATAGAGGGTTTAGTCAATATAGGTATCTACAGACCCACATGAGAACACATACTCGAGAAAAACCTTATGTATGTGATGTATGTGGAAGAAGATTTTCCTGTAGTAATTACAGGCAAAATCATATGAGAACACATACCTGTGAAAAAACTTATGTGTGTGGGAAAAGTTGTAGCACGCTTGGTAGTATACAGAGCCACATGAGAACACATACAGGTGATACATCTTTTAAATGTGATGTATGTGGTAAAGTGTTTACTAACAAATGTTGCCTGAGGAGACACACAAAAACACACACGGGTGAAAAACCTTTCAAATGCGATATATGTGGTAAAGGTTTCATTCAGAATTGTGACTTACAGAAACACATGATAATACATACTGGTCACGACGATAAACTGTATAAATGTGATGTTTGCGGGAGAGGGTTTAATAACAAATGGTACTTGAAGAACCACACAGCAACACACACTGGTGAAAGACCTTTCAAATGTGATATATGTGGTAAAGGTTTCATTCAGAATATTGACCTACAGAGACACATGAGTACACATACTGGTGATAAACCGTATAAATGTGATGTATGTGGGAGAGGGTTTAATACCAGTTCGTACCTGAAGAGACACAAAACAACACACACTGGTGAAAGACCTTTCAAATGCGATATTTGTGGTAAAGGTTTCATTCATAATTGTGACTTACAAAGACACATGAGAATACATACTGGTGATAAACCGTATAATTGTGATGTATGTGATAAGGGATTTAGTCAAAAAGGTCACTTACAAACACACATGAAAATACATACTTGCGATAAACCTTTTAAATCTGATTAATAATTTACATGTACATGTTATAAATGTTTGCGACAGAATACAAATTTACAGACACACATAAATAACACACTTATGATCATTGAACAATATAATTGTGATGCGATAACATGTAGAATAGGATCAGAATTCGACTCTACAGATATGCGCACTGACAATAAACTACTGTATAGTTTGATATGTGTAGTTAATTACTTAAGGAGAAATGCTTTTAGAGACACGATATCATAACACGTATTCGTGATAACCTTTTGCTTTTTGATAAAGTGGTTCTTTAATAGCCATGAGTATAGCAGTTGGAATTTTTAGAATTCCATGTAACTTCAGTCATACACCATGTGTACACAGCAATGTATTTAGCTATAGGCATATAAGAAATATATTGGCGCCTGTGTTCATCACATTTGTGTTCCTATGCTCCAACGTGTGCCCCATGGATCAGAGGCGGATCCAGGGGGTGGGGAGGAGGAAGGATTCCAGAGGTTAGAACCGCCTATTTTTGACGTACAAATCTTTTAAATTGCCACATACTGTTTCAACCCCCTTTTAAAAATTGACTAAATCCACACCTTTGGACCAAAGTATATATATTTCTACTTAGGTACATTTTATTCTGTATAATGGTTTTTCAACGGAATTTTTTAAAGAATTTCAATATATAAGTCTGCATACATGTAGCATTTCCGTTGAATAATAAACAAGTATGGCCATATACATGTAGTTACCTTGGTTATATTAATTTGCGAATAACTAATTGCATGACAGTTACGTACGAATTGAAAGAATATATTAATGTAACTAAAAAACAAAAAGAAAATGTACAAATACAAAACCAAAACACTAGCTTTGTTATCATTTCTATGTTTTTATTATTATTATTATTATTGTTTCTAATGTTAACTTTTTTTTTATATTTATATATTATGGAATAGGATCCCAGTTACAGGATACCAGAGCAAAAAAAAAAGGGGGGGGGGGGGGGGGTAGGAAGGACCTTTTTCATGACGTCGGGATCGGGTGTTTTTAAGCCCGGGATTTCGGGATTAACCATGTCGGGATCCAGGGAATTCTTTTTTCGAATTTCGAGATGTCGGGATTTCATGTTTTTTAAGCTCGGGATTACGGGATCAACCCCCTCCGACCTCCCCCTTTTTTAGAGCAGTACCGACGAGTGAAGTCACTCTTACCATCTTTTAAACATGTTAAATGGGATATTGTACAGAAATGAAAATTATGTATTATTGTTGAAGGCCGTACGGTGACCTATAGTTGTTAATTTCTGTGTTATTTTGGTTTATTGTGGAAAGTTGTCTCATTGGCAATCATACCACATCTTTTATTTTATATGTAAAGATGCTACAATATACATTAGACTTCTATTTAATTTTAATTGATTTTGAAATGTATAGGGGGATGATTATTTGAGAAATGGTCCAAAATTTATTTTTAACAAAATGACCTTATTAATAAAAAATAAACTATTGCTGGCTTAAATGCCGGTCGTGACCTTGAAATAATTATCACAGAAACAATGAACGGGGCGGGGTTACCAGTATGAGAAAAAAATGAAATGTTGAAGTCTAATAAAGAGACCACAAAATCTGTCCTTAAATTTGGATACAATTGCATTGAAGTAATGGGGGAAATACTTTGGCCCCCTGTTCCATCTTTACTCGTATTTGCTATTTAATGTTACCATAGTTACTTGTCAGTTTCTATAATTACACATGTCACACATGTACAAAGTTTTGTTTGTTATTTTGTGTTTTATAAGATGCATTAAAAGAATCCTGCATGAAAATACGTTATCATTTACAAATAATCCGTTAAATTATTTCCTAATGTTGTAACTACAATCCCGTTCCCTTCCCACGAATGTGACCTATCGAATTAGACTATTTACCGAGTTTGTTATAACATGAGCAACCGACGACGGGTGCAACATGTGGAGCAGGATGCCTACCCTTCCGTAGCACCTGAGATCACCCCCAGTTCTTGGTGAGGTTTGTGTTGCTAAAGTCTTTAGATTTCTATGTTCAGTGTGTCTTGTGTTCTACTGTTTGTCTTTTTGTCTTTTTCTTTTTTAACCATAACGTTGTCAGTTTATTGTTAGATATAAGTTTAAATGTCCCTATGTCATGTAGGTTATCTTTTTCCCCTGTTTTATTTTTACGAACAATCAACAAAAGTAATACCGCAGGAATAAACAGTATAGATATAAACGGCTATGTTATGAATCGGTTGTCAATGAGACAACTATTAGTATCCACACGAGTTTATATAAGCAATAATTAATTAACATGTTTTCGTGCGGCCTTCAGCAGTGAAAAAATCAATATCGTATATATAGTTGGCTTTAAAACTAAAAGGGCCGGACATGTATAAACTTAGGTTCTTAAGAGATGTTCGATGGCTTAAAATTGGCTTCATCCACTTCATTTTAACTTTGACGGATAGTTGTAACTGGCTGTCATTTGTCTGTATAGGTTTGGCGGATAGCTATCTCTGGCCGTTATTTGTCTGTAGGTTTGGCGGATAGTTGTCTCTGGCTGTCATTTGTTAGTAGGTTTGGTGGACAGTTGTCTCTGGCTGTTATTTGTCTGTAGGTTTGGCAGATAGTTGTCTCTGGCTGTCATTTGTTAGTAGGTTTGGTGGACAGTTGTCTCTGGCTGTTATTTGTCTGTAGGTTTGGCAGATAGTTGTCTCTGGCTGTCATTTGTTTGTAGGTTTGGCGGTTAATTGTCTCTGGCTGTCATTTGTCTGTAGGTTTGGCGGATAGTTGTCTCTGGCTGTCATTTGTCTGTAGGTTTGGCAGATAGTTGTCTCTGGCTGTCATTTGTTTGTAGGTTTGGCGGATAATTGTCTCTGGCTGTCATTTGTCTGTAGGTTTGGCGGATAGTAGTCTCTGATCGTCATATGCATGTCTGTAGGTTTGGCGGATAGTTGTCTCTGGCTGTCATTTGTCTTTATAAGTTTTACGGATAGTTGTATTTGGCCGTCATTTGTCTGTAGGTTTGGCGGATAGTTGTCTCTGGCTGTCATTTGTCTGTATAAGTTTGGCGGATAGTTGTCTCTGGCCGTCATTTGTCTGTAGAATTGGCGGATAATTGTCTCTGTCTGTCTTTTGTTTGTAGGTTTGGTGGACAGTTGTCTCTGGCTGTCATTTGTCTATAGGTTTGGCGGATAGTTGTCTCTGGCCGTCATATGTTTGAAGGTTTGGCGGATAATTGTCTCTGGCTGTCATTTGTTTGTAGGTTTGGTGGACAGTTGTCTCTGGCTGTTATTTGTCTGTAGGTTTGGTGGATAATTGTCTCTGGCTGTCATTTGTCTGTAGGTTTGGCGGATAGTTGTCTCTGGCCGTTATATGTTTGAAGGTTTGGCGGATAATTGTCTCTGGCTGTCATTTGTTTGTAGGTTTGGCGGAAAGTTGTCTCTGGCTGTCAATTGTAGGTTCGGCGGATAGTTGTTTCTGGTCGTCATTTGTCTGTTTTTAAGCCTTATTTGTGGACTGTGATTGACTCATTTGTAGAATTTATAACATATACAAGTAATAAAAAAATCTAATGCATATTAAAGTCAAAATAAATAATTATGTTTTTAGTTTTTGAACCGTTTAGTAAAATTGTTATCGCCTGAATTTTTTTTTCTCTGAAATCTTATTAATTTAATCCATGATATATTATTAATCAAGTTGCTATGGTCGAAGTATTTCGAACGTTATTTCCTTATAAATAAATTTGGTGTATTTACTGTCTTCTGATTGGTTAAATGTATTAGTTTTATTTTCAATGTTGTCAATTTTTGTCGAGCCTGCGACTTTTGTCGCAGAAAGCTCGACATAGGGATAGTGATCCGGCGGCGGCGGCGGCGGCGGCGGCGGCGTTAGCTAACTTCTTAAAAGCTTTATATTTTAGAAGGTGGAAGGTCTGGATGCTTCATACTTTGTATATGGATGCCTCATGTTACGAAGTTTCCGTCAGTCACATGTCCAATGTCCTTGACCTCATTTTCATGGTTCAGTGACTACTTGAAAAAAAAGTTCAGATTTTTTGTAATGTTAGATTCTCTCTTATTATAAGTAATAGGATAACTATATTTGGTATGTGTGTACCTTGCAAGGTCCTCATGCCCGTCAGACAGTTTTCACTTGACCTCGACCTCATTTCATGGATCAGTGAACAAGGTTAAGTTTTGGTGGTCAAGTCCATATCTCAGATACTTTAAGCAATAGGTCTAGTATATTCGGTGTATGGAAGGACTGTAAGGTGTACATGTCCAACTGGCAGGTGTCATCTGACCTTGACCTCATTTTCATGGTTCAGTGGTTATAGTTAAGTTTTTGTGTTTTGGTCTGTTTTTCTTATACTGTATGCCATAGGTCTACTATATTTGGTGTATAGAATGATTGTAAGGTGTACATGTCTAGCGGGCAGGTGTCATTTGACCTTGACCTCATTTTCATGGTTCAGTGGTCAAAGTTAAGTTTTTGAGTTTTGGTCTTTTTTTTCTAATACTATGTGCAATAGTTCAACTATATTTGGTATGTGCGTACCTTGCAAGGTCCTCATGCCCGTCAGACAGTTTTCACTTGACCTCGACCTCATTTCATGGATCAATGAACAAGGTTAAGTTTTGGTGGTCAAGTCCATATCTCAGATACTATAAGCAATAGGTCTAGTATATTCGGTGTATGGAAGGACTGTAAGGTGTACATGTCCAACTGGCAGGTGTCATCTGACCTTGACCTCATTTTCATGGTTCAGTGGTTATAGTTAAGTTTTTGTGTTTTGGTCTGTTTTTCTTATACTATATGCAATAGTTCAACTATATTTGGTGTATGGAAATATTTTATGATCTATTTGGCAGTCACGCAGGTTTTATTTGACCTTGACCTCATTTTCAAGGTTCATTGCTCAGTGTTAAGTTTTTGTGTTTTGGTCTGTTTTTCTTAAACTATAAGCAATAGGTCAATTCTATTTGTTGTATGGAAGAATTGTTAGCTG